AGTTCTAGGCACAGCCAAGATACTGTGCAGAACCCTCAAGCTCCCAGGCCTCTGGTAGAGGACCAGAGATCAGATCATTGTGTTATTTTAGCAGTTTGATCAATATCAGTAAGGGACTGTGCATAAGGGTATGCACAGTGGCGCAGTTGGTAGAGCTGTTGCTTTGCAGCAAGACGGTCCTGGGTTTGATTCCTGGCATGGAGTTTGCATGTTCTCCCTGTGCATGCGTGGGTTCTCTCTGGGTACTCCGGCTTCCTCCCACAACCCAAAAACATGACTGTCAGGTAAATTGGGCTGTATAAATTCTCCTTAGGTGTGAGTGTGTGCATGCACACACTATATTAATATTTATCACTGAGGTGGAGATGAGTAGCTAGATGATTGATATACGTTTTCTCAGATGTGCAATTTATATGCACTGTATGGCCTTGTAAAGCAAGCATGCATAAATGTTAAGTACATGAATAGTGTATACGTCTTTGTAGAAGGAAAGTCCTTCAGAGACTTGTTTTATGCTTGACATATTTTTATATGTGGTATCTTTGTGGGTTACTTCTTTTAAGATCTTAGCGGCTCCTTACCATTTTTTTTTCCCTTTTAATTGTCCTCATCTAACTGCTGGGCTTTAACAGCAAAAATTCAGGTTGGCTGAAGATTTTGGGTTTAGACCATCTGAAGTCTTGTACCAAGTCTTACAAAACCACTGGGTGACACACTAAAGCAAAAAAGTCAAAAATTTTAGGACACATAACTGTAAAAGAAAAAAAAAAGAAAGAGAGAAATGAGAGCCCTTCAAGCAGCCTGTTGCTGTTTGGTGTAAACCAGACTTGTTTTGCCAGGTTTAAAATATCCTATATTTGTTCGGGCTTTCATGTTTTTCTTAGAGAGCTAAGATTTCCTATTGCACACCTCCAATGACAGTGACACTTGTGCAATCCTATTCTGATTGAATAGGCACATGCTTTTAAATCTACAGTACCAAGAGCCAGTTGTAGGTCCTGTGATGACACTAGAACATTTTTTGGAGACTTTAGCACCGTGTCGTCTGCTTTCGGCGAGAACTTTATTGATGTCGTCAGTCATTTTTAGTCCCCTCCATTTGCAAACTGTTTTTCTTAAACTGAAATGACAGAACTACAATTTCTTTGATACCGCTTTAAATCCTATATTAGTTGGTGCAAGGTGGATGCTTAATATAAAGCACAGATTCACAGCAATCTGCAGATTCACAGAGAATCTGCAGACTTGAATGTTTTTGTTTGCATTATTTGAATTATTCCATATAGTTAAACTTGATTTCAAATACCCATATGCCAAAATATGTTAGAAAAATACGTCCTACTTTTTCCACATGACTCACCTCACCATAATTTGTTTGAATTTTTTGATGTCAAGCAGACATTATAATGATTAATGAACTTAAGCATCGCAGTCTGACGCCTGGCGTTCACTATTTTTTCCATCGTTCAGGTTTATTGCCGTTTTACATCTTTCATCTTCGGACGGGGATTTCAGCTGATGCATACTGCAAAAATGACATTAGTAGGGCATTTCCACCCAAGCCGGGGATACCTCACACGTGACCCACTTAGCTATCTCTCGGGGCATTAACCGGAAGAAAGAAAGAAACCTAATCTTTGCACTCAGCAGGCATTTGTTGTACCAGCCTGATTCGCTTTCTGTCATACATTTTCACTGTTTGCTGCCTCCATCTCTGCTTAGTTTTTTTTTTCCCCACTTCCTTTCTCCTCCATCACCTCCATTTCTCATCTCTTCCAGCTGCTTTTACCAGAAACTGTCCGTTCTCGCCTCAGCTTTCGACTCTTACATGTATTTGCCCCCTCATACACTACAACACTCACTCCTCTCCTCAAACCCCCTCCCTACGAAAGGCAATAGGAGTGTAGGGAAATTCACTAGATTCACTAGATAAAAAAAATAAGCGCTTCTCAGTCTCCGTGCTCCTGTAGCCGCGCGTCCCCCCAAGGGAGCACCGTGTTATGGATGGGCCCCTGTCCGCTCGTCTTGTCTGGGATCCACACAAAACCCACAGTTAGCGCACGGACTTTTCCAAAGGGATTTTACTTTTGCTCTTTGGCGATGTTATTGTCTAAAAAGCCAATTTCTCAAACCTATCTGGCCTCAGTCCCTTCCTGTTGGCTCAGTGATCAGTGACGAAACGGGCCCGGACTGAGCGGCAGCGATGTGCTTTCTGTGATTACCCCACTCCTCTGACCGAACTCATCACTCCTGCACAATCTGACGATCTGCTACTGCAGTACAACTACATGGGGGCATGATTGCCAGCTCACACCCCTATAATTACTCACAGTAAATACAGCATAATATACATAAATACCTTTTCCCTAAAAGCAGAAAACTGAGTTAGCATTAGCATTATTGGCCAATACTAAGTGACTAAAATTTAATATACTTTTGGCTGTACAAAGGTGACATCAATAAAACATTTTTCTTTTTTGTTGGTATAAACAAACTACTTATTCTCCTTTTGAATATTCATGTTTTCCTATTTAGGACAGAATATTATGTGTTTTTCATCAAGCGTAATGACTGATTCAGTCATCAAGACTTAACCTTGGGGGGTAGATGTTGTAGATGGGTGTGTAGCACCAATATTTTGTGTGTGTGTGTGTGTGTGTATGTGTGTGTTTACAGAGCGACGACGCGGCAGGGTGAAAACCGGCTCTTCATTCAGCTCGACTCGTCTGCGGGGCAGCACCGTGCTCTACCACATCTCTGGTCACCTCCACAGCAGGGAGAAGAGCAAGATTAAAATCAACAAGGTATCGTCACGTTGCGCAAACAACAGAAGCGGGGTGGGAAAAGGTCTTTTCAAACGAGGCCAAGGGTCGCCGTGCGGAGAAAGGGGAGCACTGGCGGTGCCGTTGAAGCGCCGGTGACAAAATCAAGGGCAGACAGGTGGGAGATGTCTGAATGTTAGCGCTTCCACAAACAGCAATTAAACAGCTTGGATGCAAGGGGCTGTAATGCTAGCATGAGTGCCTCATTAAAAATAACAACAGAATACTATTGCTTTTTAAACTTGCCTGTCTTCCCCTTCAAAACGGGACTGTGTGAATTAGTTAGCGCTCTCACCAAACCACGGCACAGATGATTGTAAAACCTGTTTTTAATGTGTTGCTGGAATGTAAATATAATGGCAGACTTTAGTTACAGTTCTGTGTGTGTCATCTCGGTTGTTGAAAAGTTGTGTCCCCATTGCTGTTGTGTTTTCTTATCACTTTTTTGATTTGGATCTCAATCGTTTCTTATGTTGCGTTGCGTCTGTTTGTTTGCCTTTCTGATTTCTGTTTCCTTGTTTCCCACATTCCCCGCGTGTTTATCCCGTTTCCTCAGTTCAACTTCAGCTCCTTCCGTCTGTCACAGCTGCACCCTGTTTCTAATCAACCGCCTGCTTCTTGTTCAGTAATCAACTCTCCAGGTTAAACATCTCTCAGTTAGTCAATTCTCACTGTCGCTTCTAGTATGGTGCAAGAACCTGGTGGGTTTTTCACCTGGACATTGATTTTTATACTTTTTTTTCCTCATTCTATTAAGTAAACAGTTTTTTTTTCAACCACCTGCATCCTCTGTGCATTTGGTTTTCTTATCTACTCCGTTTTATGACCCAGACTAATGACTGGCAATGGTTTCACGACCTAGATCTAGCCTGTCCTCAAACCGGAGTGTAACATCCCTCTGGGATTCATAAACCGCATGCTGTGGAGTTTACTAAAAAGAAAAACTGACAGCAGCAGTTTGAAAACATGTGTTGTGCAGCATCGATGGGAAAACGCAAATGAAATATGGAGTCTTCCCAAAGACACAGTGTAGGGATCCTGTTGTCTTGGTCTTCCAGTCAAAAATTGAAGCATAGAAGAGAAAAAATACAACTTATCCTTTCCTTGAAGTGTTTTGAAAAGGGATCTAGAAGGATCTTAAGCTGGAGAATCAAGGAGAAAGTTTGATGGGGCGTCAAGCGAACACAGGGCCTATCGAAAGGCGACTAAACACTGATGACTTAGCGTGCAGCTTTTGAACAAATACTGTGTACTAAGGCTGTATTAACTCTATCAGAAAGCCGGACAGTGAAGGAAAGAATTTGAAATGACAGTCACAGCTTATTGGAAGTGTAAAACTTGCATAGTTATTATGTATCCAATGAGTGTAAAACAGCTGATTTTACAATAAGAATCTGGAGTTGTTGCTCTGTTTTTATACACTCAAATTTTATCCCAGAAATTCTGTGCCTGCGAGTCTGTTTTATTATGTGGAGAGAGAGAAAAAAAAATACCTCCAGGGGAAGTGTGAATCACCAAAAGATACACATACACAATAGTCACCATGTAAACAACAAACTCATCCAAAGTAAGGAAGGAAAGTTATAAGTTTGAGATGTTTGGATGGTGAAGATTCACTTTGGAATGGGCTACATTTATTCATTTTCCAAATTAAAATTCTGCTTTGGCTGCAGACAAGATATGCACTGTTTGTCACTTGTGCATACAGCTCAGAAACTTCCTTTAGGAACCTGAAGGGTTATTTTATTTTATTTTTTTTAATAGCCAATAGCCAGTTCCAATTCAAATACTAACCTCAATATGTAGTACCTCATTAAGGAGTATAGAACATTATTGCATAGTTTGTAGTTTTTTTTCACCAACTGAACAGTAGGTGATTTTTCTTGTATTGTCCAGAACGTGTTTGGAGATCCTCCTGCTCTACCGGAATACAAGGTTGCAGACGCCAAGAAGTCCAAATTCATATTGCTTCACTACAGCACATTTAAAGCAGGCTGGGACTGGCTGATTTTGCTTGCCACCTTCTACGTTGCTGTGACAGTGCCCTACAACGTGTGCTTCATCGGCGACGATGACGATCTGACCCGCAGCACCACTGTCAGCGACATCGGTGTGGAGATTCTCTTCATCATAGGTTAGTTGCAGATTACCAACCGCTTCGCTACTTACACCGATGATGAGCTAGCGTGCAGCTTTTAGGATAACCAAACTCTTTACTTTTTGTTTTTGTTTGTTTTTTAACACCAGACATTATTTTTAATTTTCGCACCACTTTCGTCAGCAAGTCCGGCCAGGTAATCTTTGACGCTCGGCAGATATGCTTCCATTACCTGACGACGTGGTTCATCATCGACCTGGTGGCCGCACTGCCCTTTGACCTGCTCTACGCGGTCAAAGTCAGCGTGGTAAGTTCCCGACTGGATGCTCCTTTTTTAGTCTCGGTTACAAGCAGTGGCTTTAAATCAATGTTTTGGCGAAGAAAGCAGCTGAAACATGGAGCAAAGAATGATTTTTTTTTTTTTTAAAAAGAAAAGGAAAGTAAGTAAAAACAAATAACTTTCAAGGTTACTTTGAAATAAAAAAAAACAAAAGTCGTCACGATTAATGCGTTGCCCAGTAACAGCAGCCTTTAACTGTGCTGTCTCTGAGAAGAGTTACACAGTTTCAAGAATCGTCAGCTGTGCTGCTTTCCAGATCTGCCCCAAGGCCTTTATTTTTATACATATATATATATTTTTGATTTGGCATATTGATTCCACATCGTGTACGGAGCACGAGCGCCGACCAAAACAGCCCCACATCATTAAAACGTTTTTCTACCCTTCCTCAGTAAAACACGCGGCCCCCACCCCCTTAAGAGCAGCTGAGAGCAGGATGAAACACAGATCTGGAGCAATTAGGAAGAGTGTTGTGTCTTACCCTGGGGTGGCAGGGGTAAATCGAAACATGGTACTACAGTTGGCTTTTGATTGGTTGCCTTTAGAAGTTTCTACTGTTTGGTCCCTAATTTAGGAAAAAACAAAAACGATGCTTTGACTCTGCCATTTACTTACTATAGAGTGAATCAAAATGTTCAACAACAATTGGTATGTACTGGAAGGATGCACTCAGGCATCCACTCAATTATAAATAGATTAATTATTATAATTATTGTAATCAGAAGCATTATTAGTATTTATGGTGCTGACTCTATATACAGGTTTGTTAGTCTGAGGAGAGGCAGAAAGAAAAAGTTTGGATGTGAAAGCTTCGTTTGGTCTATAATTTTTAATATTCTCCATGTTTGTCATTTTTGATCGACCAACCAGTTCTGTTGGATTTATAATTATGTAGTGCAGAAGTCTAATGCTAGTTTTTTTTTTTTATTTATTAATTTTATTTACGTCTAAGTTAGGCTTTGATGTGAGTTCTGGATCGTTATTCCTCTGACACACCTGAATGTGTCCGCCACGTCTCGTCCGTCTGACTCAAACTTTCACGGAATGGAAATTGCTCAGCTCTGGGACAGTAAATAGCCTCAATGAAAAACTTGACGTCAGCGTTTGTGTCAAAAGCGAAGCGGGTTTAACTTTAAAACTGGCACAGTTGGTGCTCCAAATCAACACCTTTCAAACTCAACTAAAATCCGCAGCTACCCAGACGAGCAAGTGAAAGGCCTGCTAGAGAAAGGCTTTATGGTCACAATGAGAAGAAATACGACTTAAAAACATCAGAATAGGACTTTTCAATTCAGCTTCATTTCAAATAATTAGACGTTTAGGAAACGTGAACATAAACTGATGTCCTAACAGGACAATTATCAAAAGTTGTTTGGGATTGGAGAGCCAGTTGATGCTAACTTTCTGAAAAGGGATTTACCCGACTGAACATCTTTTGATCCTGTTAAGTATGTGTTTAATCGCACTTAATTCAATATTTAAGAGGGTACAATTGTCTTTTCATGTAGGGTCAGTTTGGTTTGATTAGTTATTTTCCCCTTTAGAAATCTAATCACTTGAAATCATCTCCTTTTTTAATCGCATCTATTTGGTTGATATTACAATATTGTTATGGTTTCAAACATTTAAGTTTGACAAAAAAGAAATCAAAAAGAGAAGAAAACTTTGCCCTGCGTTTATTGCGCCAAATCAAAAACAGCTTTTGTACTTAAGAATTAAATTTTTGGCTTTAAAGCTCAGCTTTAACATCTGTCTCACGCAAGAGTTGTCTGTGCGGATCGGACGGCCGACTTGCACATCTGTGGATGGGGAGCAGTAATTCAGAATGATACATGCAGTCACGGTTTCTAATTAAAGGGCCCAGGAGAGCACTTTGGAAAAGAGGCTAACACTTCATCAAATACACGAACAAGAAAGGACTATACTGCAGGAAACCTAAGGCAGTTCAACTTTTGTTGTGCCCATATTCCATGTGAAATGTGACCAGAAGCAAGACCAGACCAGACGCAAAGAGATGAGATGTTTGTGGGAATAAACAAAAGAAAATGGTTTAGAAGTGAAATGTGAAGTGAGACAGTAGTAGAGTATAGAAATCCAAAACCTAAACTGTAAAACAAAAATGCAACAGAGCTGAACATCAGCACATGTCAAAGGATTTCTATCAGTTTACACTTTGATTCCAAGAGAATTTGCTCATCTGCCTTCACACACACATATGGACTGGCGTAACGTCCCATTCTTAATTGTTTGGGATTATCTTGATATTATAGTCCAATCTTTCGCAGATCATCTGGGAAGACTTTCCACAAGAATGATGTGATTATGTGTATTTTATCACCATTCTTCCGTAAGCACATTTGTGAGGTCAGACGCTGATGTTGGCTGAAAAGGTCGCGCTCATAGTCGCCACTCCCCAAAAGGTACTGTGGTGAGGTTGGGACTTTAGGTTGGCCAGTCAGGTTTTTTCACAACACACTCACCCGACGTGTCTTTAAGGACGTTGCAGAACGAAACGTGACATCCTGAAACTGTCTTGCATCTGCAGAAAGTTCTCTGCGCCAAATTTACCTCAGTATCCGATTGTTTTGACTTGTAATACAACTTTTGGCTGTGGGATATTTGGTAACATGAAAACACGTGCAATTCACTTCCAGCTTTCTTTAAAGAGCGGTTCTTTTGTGCTGTGGGAATTATAGTGTTGCCTAATGATTTGACAATCACTGCATTGTGCAAAAAAATTGAAAACTTTGCAGTGGTTTGCTGCTTTTAGAGTTGGCATGTAAGAATGATTTCAAATATTAAGATGCTTTACAAGTTCAGTTTATTTTTATTTAAAACATCCTGCTGGGGAAAAAAGCAGAGAAAAAAACAAAACAAAACAAAAAAACACGTTATTTTTAGTATTTAAGGAAGCTGAGCTGACGGGGGCCAGTTGGGGGCGGGTGCTGCTCCAGGCAAAAGGTACCAGTTTGGTTCCATAGTCTATTTATGGAAATACCACACACTCCCAGTGGAGCAGGTTTAGATTTGTGGCTACTGGGCCATAGATCCCTCTGTGGCTGCTGGGGAGAGCAGAAATGTTGGGTGTAATTGCTCGAGGTTCTGCGTGGCGTCCCCTCAAAGGATGGACCGGTCAGATTGTCCTGCTCGAAACCTGAAGCCATCTTTCACTCACAATGAGCCGCGGGGCCTCAACATCCCTCTGTGATCTCATTTCGCTTTTCCTTTTTTGCTGCCTGGTATATTTTGGAGGCTGTCATCAAGTTATTTTCCCCCATTTTTTGTTGTTTTGCTTTGTTTTACTGTAAAGCCATTATTAATTTATACATTTTACGTTTTCAACTGTCAGGCTGAGACTTGTTTTGTCATGATTATCTTTTTTTTTTTTCTTAACTACAATGACAAATTGTGGAAACAAACAAATTTCACAAACAATTCAGGAAATAAATATTTAACTATAGGAGGCTAACTTACAATAATGAAAACAATTAAAAAGTCAGCTGAATTTCTTTAAATCATGACTTATTTAGATGCAATAAAAGTGATTTATTTCTTATGGTTTCCACTCATGGAAGTTGTTTAACAGAGTGATGCAAAAATATTACATATTGCAGTTGGAGCACCTATTGCATTGCCCTTCTGACTCTGGAGACAAATATTGGCCAAGTCGAGGTTTACTGGCCCAATACAGCTCCAATTATTGAATAAATACTTAACAAACTTGACCCATTGTGCTGTTGTGGCACAGCTGCATAGCTGAAGGCATGGCTCCGAGAGAAGAAATAACGAGAGTTTCTGTAAAGCCGGAGTCTCAAGGATGCAGATCTAAACCTATAAGGACTGAAGAAAAAAAAAAAAAAAAACAGTCGGGAAGCTAAACGTAAATTTCACACCTGATGAACAGAAAAAAAAACAAAAAACACAGCACAGTCTGAATGACGAGGGTGGCATTGAAGCGACGGAGGGCAGAAGTTGAAGGAGACGAGTCTTACGCGATCCGTGTTCGGTACGTTATCCTGTATGCTTTTCATGCTGCTGGCAAGTGAGTAGGACGTGGCACAGCCCGCTCACTCCATAGGTGGGACTCAGAGTGGTGATAGATGGCGGAGGAGAGATGGAGCTTCTCCCTACGGCTCAGTAGGAGGCTTCATTACCCTTGCGGTGTACTCATCCCTTATTTCTCTCTGCAGAAATGTGCAAAAGCACCACGGGGCATGCTGGAGACACGTGGAGAGCAGGAAGCTCTGGTACAACTGTTCACATCAGCTCACATTTGAATCTGTGGTTAAGAGATCGCAAAGGTCCTTCTTGTTCTGCTGGCACCGCCAACATGTTCCACCCTGAGGTTCATCATGTTTAGAGCAATATGCCACGCAAAAAACACAACATCTTACCAGGCGTTTTTTGGTCTAGTTGCAGGTATTTGAGCACATTTCAAATACAAAAACTAACTTACAAGTAACTTTTCAGCGCAAAATAGGAGCTTGCTTTAAGTCAACAATTCCTTCATATTGATGGAAAAGTAGAGAAGAGGTAAAATGACCTTAATATTTTCTGTCTAAATAGTAAGAAAGTATCAAAGGACCAAAGTAGGTTGATTAAATAATTCCGACTGGTGAGAATATAAAGTAAAAAAAAAGAAACAAAACAAACACTCCTTGATATGAGTGCCTGATTGCTTTAATTAGCGTTTTTATGAGGGTCCTCCATCAGAAAAGGTCTTCTTATAGATCATGCTGTGGGAACGTACAAGCGTTTGTCAAGTTCTAATTAAAGATCCATGTAGCTGTTGAGACGATGCTGTCGTGTTTGGCTTTTCTGTTTAAAAGGTTGGTTTTCTGCTTTTTTTTTTTTTTAATGTTTAAAAAGGACACGTCAGCAATTTGCTCCTCTTTCAGAACATGTTTGTCAGATTCCTGGTTTGTTTAGACAGAATCTCTATTCCTGAGAGAAATATTTTTTAACCGAACCTGTCAAAGGAATTGAAAAACCAACTTATTTTATTGCAACTTTGTCAAGAAATGGTAACATTTGCATGCAAGCTCTCTGGTGGATGTTCTAGTTTCGTTAAATGTCAAAGTCAGTAGAGCAAGTTAATAGAAATTAGTGGAGAACAAAGTTTGTTTTTTGCTTGATTTAATTTATGGAATTTATGTTTGACGGACAATTTTTATCTTTTATATAGCGCTGTTATTTTATTTGAGGCATTCGGGTCAATTAATTCAATCTTTGAGTAAAATCTTATAGAAAAAGTTTGATCAAAAACATTTAAACAAAAAAAGCTGGACAAGTCTGTCCTGAATAATAATTAATAATTCTTTGGGGAATTTAAATAAATACCTACGAGGTGTGGAAAAGTTTCATACTTTAAATCTTGGTCGTCGTCGGTGGCGACGCTTTAAGGTGATCCGAGAAGCTTATTAGCGAAGGATGCTGTTGTGCAAAGCCGAGCGAGGCAGGCAGGCTGCGGCTAGCCAAGATTTCCGAGGAACTCCACGGAGTTTTGCAGACAGCACCTTGTTTCTATGGGAGTGAATATGAATTACTCCGAGAGCCTGGCAGATGGGCTGGAGTGAAGTGTGGCTGAGGAAAAATTCACTTACACCAGACTGGCAGCAGAAGCGGCTGCCAGATACACAGCAGCTGGAGCCCAGACAGACCAAACAGAGATAGCAGGGATCCAAACAAGAGTTCAGAGCCAGGTATGCTGCAAAGCCTGCAGAGGGAAAACAATCAGGACGCTTAACCCCCCATTTTACCAGGAGTCAGTTCGGGTCTTTTGAGGTCGGAGGAGCATTTCTTAGAGTTAGACTTTTTGCACTCTCTTGTTTGGATGTAAACATTCAAACATTAATGCTGTCAGCAAGTTACCCACAGTTGCTGTCATGCAAGTTGAAGAACGTCATTTAGACAATCAGATCTTGGGCAAAAGACGTAGAAAATGCATAGAAACACCATTCGTTCCTTCAGCTGGACGAAACTCTCATGTTATTGAGATATTGATAAAGTAAAACATTTATGTCTGTAGCTATAATCGCTTTCCTTCTGTCTGCTGCGTTTGTGGGTGTAAATCTGCAATCTAACAAAAATAATTGGTTCAGATTGCTCCCATCTGCCGGATTTGATTGTTCTTGCATCTGTATGTATTTGGTACAATCTGAAAAAAAAAAGCAAAAAAAAAAAAAGCCCATGCAAAACTGTATAAAAGAAACTGTAACTGTAACTCTTTGTGAATTCTCTCCTAAGTATTTTTATTTTTTGCTGAGAATATTTCTCCCATGTGAATATTAGTTTTTTGTGTATTTTCTCTCTCCGTGGTTAATAAAAAAATAATAATTTATATATAATATATATTTATCTTTATATTATAAGATATGAATATCTTATAATATTTAGGTTATTACAAACGGGATTAAAGGTTGTCACGGTAACATTTTTGACTGACTTGTACGAAAACTGCTATCTTATGTGCGCATTCAGATAAATACCTTTTTCCCCCACAGGTGTCCGTGGTGCATCTGCTGAAAACCGTCCGTCTGCTTCGTTTGCTGAGGCTGCTGCAGAAAATGGACCGCTACTCGCAGCACAGCACGGTGGTCCTGACCCTCCTCATGTCCATGTTCGCCCTTCTGGCCCACTGGATGGCCTGCATCTGGTACATCATCGGCAAGATGGAGATGGAGGCCAACGCCTACAACTGGGACATTGGTAAACACCGTAAAATCTTGCCGGGGTATAATGAAGCCCCCGGGCTCCCAAATTAAAATAAGCATCTTTTTTTTTTTTCCCCGTTGTGAGTTTTAAACTCCCTCCTTTCAGTGCTGCAGGGATCCTATTAGGAATTGAAGTATAATCAGCAGCAGACTGTTGCTCCTTTGCTGCCACAGCCATGACACTTATTAAAAATATCATTACCGTGCATTTTTTTTTTGGAGTCTGGATATTTATAATCCAAAATATGGCAAACTGAGACATTTCAGAAAGAAGAAAACTTTGTATTTTTAGCATATTGTCTCAGGGGGCACATTATTGCCACAAGTGCCTTTAATTGCTTTAACAATTTGTCATAGAACAACTGCAAACCTCGGCGTGTTTTATTGGGATTTCATGCGGTAGACGAATGCAAAGTACTGCATAATTGTTCATTGGGAGCAAAATGATAAAGAAAGATTCAAACATTTGTACAAAAAAAATATGCGGTGCGCTTTTGCGTTCAGTGCTCTTCGGCTTGACAGATCTGTTTAAAAGGCGACTGGTTGTAGTTGGGCTTTTCCATAATCGACACAAAAGGATTCAAGTTATCAACTAGCTAAAACTACATGAAACTGTGCAATAAAATACATATGCGTTCCCAAAAGATCCTCAAATGACATACGCAGACATAGATTGTAGACAAAGTTTTTTAAAAGGAAAGTGTTCAATGAATCAGGAACATATTAGACAAATTATTCGTGATCCATACTTCAATATGTTTATGTTGTATAGGGAAAGTGTTTCTGGGCAAAATGTCCCTGTAGCGGCTCAAGAAACTATCCTTTTCAGAAGCAACAATAATCCCGTCACACCCCCACCGAGTAGATATTGAATAAAAAATGTGTGAGAGAGTGAAACCTTTGAGAATAACAACTGAGTTAAGTGTGATTTTTCTCGACTCTTTTCATAATTAATGACAGACCTTCCCGGCTCGGCCCCTCAGCCTCCAGGTCAGTCATGTAATGAGCCCCGCCGAGCTGATCTCCGGTCAGTATCGATGCGCCGCAATGCCTCGTAATTATCTCGTTCTCTATGCCAATTACTGCCGTTCAGTGTCATAAAGTAACAAGTCCATGCGCGAGGCGGGATTAATGCTTCGTGTCCTAATTATTTACTTCCGACGCTGATTTCGGTGCTGAAGTGAAGCGAGTGGTGTGGTGTTTCCTCCCAATTACCATTCATCAGTGTCAGCGACAGAGTCTCGTGGGATCGGCTGCCGTGGATCCATTCTGCACCGAATGCTCTCCAACCATCTGCTTTGTTTCTGGAATTTGCTCGGTTTGTTCCGAATAGTGCATAAACGGGAGACGGACGCGGCTGACGAAACTTCAGAAGCGACGCTTTTTGGACGAGCCCGCGTCCACGTTTAGCTCTGCTGTGAAAAGCCTCCTGGGAATTTGCGTAAAACCGAACCTTTGTCACAAAACGTAAGCGTTTGTATTGTTTTAAGCGATGTATTTGTATGTATGTATATGTATGTATGTATTTGTATGTATGTATTTGTATTGTTTTAAACGTTCGACATGTCTTCATCTTCTCACCAGGGTGGCTCCATGAGCTCGGGAAGCGTTTGGAGTCTCCATATGCCGGCATGTCAGACGTTAACACGACTGGCGGCGGTCCTGCTATCCGCAGCGTCTACATCGCTTCCCTCTACTTCACCCTCAGCAGCCTGACCAGCGTGGGTTTCGGCAACGTGTCCGCCAACACTGACGCGGAGAAGATCTTTTCTGTTTGCATCATGCTCATCGGAGGTACACAAAAAACGTCAGCTATCAGTTCCACTCCTTAAAGTGTGTGTGTTGCTTTGTGAAGTATCCATATTGCCTGAGACTTTTTCTCATTTTACCTCATTAAAGCCTGAAATTTTTAACATATGTTGGGGCAAATACCAATTGCGAAGAGCAGTTTACGGTATTTGTGGATTTTGCATTTTTTCCACGCTAAAGTCTGAAAGGTATGGCATCCATATGTGTTAAGCTCCCTTTATTTTCACATCTGCAAGTACAACCAACTGTCTTTGAACTACCTCTATCTAGTTAATACATTTGGTCCATCCGAGTGTAATATAATCTGTTATGTGAAAGCCCCCGAGGTTTGTTCGAGAACATTAGAGGAAACTCATAATGAAGACCAAGGAACACAGCAGACAGCTCAGGGATAAAGTTGTGGAGAAGTTTAAAACCGTTTTAAGTTATAAAACACGATCCAACTTTTGGGTGCTGAAAAAAAAAAATTAAATGCCACAGCTTTTGAAAACTGCCCTTTATGGAAGAGTACCAAGAAGAAAGTCATTGAAGTTTCATTAAAAAAAAATGATGCTAATTAAAAAGACCCAACACACATGTTGAATCTAGGGAAGCTAGGCAGAGCTAATGGGAAGATGAATGGAGCTACACTGACTAGAAAGTATTCACTGCCTTGAATGTTTTAGCATTTTTATTGCTTTTACAAATTCATCATGATCAACAAAATTAGTTGGTTTTATTTTCTTGGCAAAACATATAAACAAACCCTGTTTGATGTTAAAGTCACAACTGGTTTCTATAAAATAATGGCAATTAAATTATGTAACATAAAATACATTATGGTATAAATATTCACACCCAACCAGTAGATGCAATTAAAAAAAAAAATAGCCAAATTTTATTGATCGTGATTAACTGATAAAAGCAATAAAAGCTTAAAGCATCCAAAGTGGTGAGTACTTTTCAGAGGGAAAACCTCTGACCGGGGCGGAGGTTTAGCTTCCAGCAGGAAAACAAGCATGAACATCCAACCAAAATCTGCCATGAGTGGTTTGGATCTGTTGACTGTAACAAAATGTGGAAAAAGTCCTAAAGGGTGTGAATACTTTTGAATGGGGCTGTGCGTGAAGACGCATGTCTTTTGGAAATGACTCCTTCAAAGTTAATTTCAAAATGAGACTTCATTGTGAAGAGTAATGGGTAAAACCAAGTTAATAACACTAATTCATCTTGTCTTAGTTAAAATTTCAGAAGCATGTAATTGGATTTCCTATTCCTTATTTTCCCCCCTGGTTTTCTGCTCCATTATATGGCTTTTTTATGCAGAACTTTGCAGAGGGGACAGAACTAGTTTAAACCAGACAGAATAAGCTTGTTTTTTTTTTTTTGTTTTGTTTTGTTTTTTTTCTTGGCAGTCACTTTTGCAAGGTTTTCCCGGTGGATACTCTCTCCTCTCTGTTTCAGCTAAATGCTAAATGTCCCCGGCTGCCGGAGGGCAGTAGCAGGAGAAGACACACACACCCACACACGCAAACACACACACACATACAACACATCCCCATGTTTGCTCACATACATCCCATTCCCAGCGGGGAGACATGGAGTGAAAACTAATCCGAAGCACCTGCTCATATTTATTGTGGAGCGTAACCTCAATGAACTTAGATGAGTTATGCAAATGAATTACTATGATGCTTGAATTATATTTTTTAAGGTGCAGTTTAGAATATTATCCTAAGGAATAACATTTTATTTCTTAAAGTTTAAATGGAAGCTACATAAAGCAAGAATATTTTCCAGTAGGCTAACTTAAGCAGTTTGAAATGGCACTTCCTTAAATTATTGGAAATGGTCTGAAATAGTCATACCTAATATAGATGTCATAAATAGTGCAAAGAGAAACTCCACCTGTCAGGAGAAGTGGATGGAAAATAATGAGCACCTGAGAAGAAACACAGGAAACCACGAAAACCAGACAGTCAACAAGTCAGAACAACAGAACACAGCGATTTCACCATTTTGCGGTTATTCTGTTTTTGTCTTTACATCATTGATTTCATATTATTGTCACAAGCTCCTTTGAGTAATAGCTGAAAATGTCTGTCAAACTAAAAAAGGGACTTTTTTTTTTTTTTTCCCGATGCAAACCGAGACAATAAAAGCACCTTTTTTCCGTAGCTTTTATAGAAGTTAAATAGTATCTTATTGAGGTCACCACTTCGACATGTCAGCGTAATTTCACTTTGTAAGAAAACTGACCCAGCTGGACCGATGACTCCCTGACGTCCAGCCTCTGGTGACACAGCTGTGCTGCAGCTCCAAACTCGATGAGATCAGGAGAACGGATCACCTGTGGGTGCGGGAAGGGCAGCGTTCGCCTGCGCAATCAAATAAGCTCCATGCTGCGCCGACGTCGAGCTTTCCTGTACGCGAGATATAAATGTAAATTTAATAGTTGGCTTTTCTCTCATTTGATTTCATCGTATAAAAATCGAGTTAAACACGTGAAACATGTAGGGTTACAAGCAGAAGATTTATCCTCCGCTGCTCCTGCTGTGCACCTGAAGTGCGGTGAACAGACATTTTTCTCTTGTTCCTGTTAATTTTAATCTTTCAGATCATCGAGTAATGTTTACAAAAGAGAAATTTCAAAAGCCGTTTTGAAACGTTGAGCTCATTCGTTAGAGGACTTCTGAACTTCTCTGACTACATGGAGTAGGCTCTCATAAAACAAAACATGACATCCTGATTTAAAGAAGTCCTGGAACCAATAGGAAACAGTGTAATTGACATATGTCTGGAAATGTAAGAAATATATTTTTCATGTGGTTAAAATAGAATTTGGATTTTTTTTTGTTTGTTTGTTTTCCTGTTCGAATGACACTTTCCTGATGTTCCAATCGTTGTTGTTCTCCATCATCCGCTTCCTGTCCATCTTTCTGTCATCCCCTTTCTTTCTTTCTTTCTTTCTTTCTTTCTTTCTTTCTTTCTTTCTTTCTTTCTTTCTTTCTTTCTTTCTTTCTTTCTTTCTTTCTTTCTTTCTTTCTTTCTCCCTGCTTTTACCCGCAGCACTGATGCATGCCTTGGTCTTTGGCAATGTGACAGCCATTATCCAGAGGATGTACTCCCGCTGGTCTCAGTACCACACCAGGACCAAAGACCTGAAGGATTTCATTCGCGTCCATCACCTGCCACAGAGCCTCAAGCAGCGAATGCTCGAGTACTTCCAGACAACCTGGTCGGTCAATAACGGAATCGACTGCAACGAGGTATAGGACTGGAACTGTCTCCTTTATTTGTGTGGCTTAGCATGAGTAAGTGTTTTATAGTGCAAAGCCAAAGCAAAGTTGTGGAAAACTGGTTTTTCAAACAGCTTCCTGCAGTTTCCTTGCATACTAAGGAAGGAGTTGAGCATTCCGCCTCGTTAACTTGAACCCTCTTTTTTACAGAGACCAAAAATAGTTGAACGGTTTTCTCAAGACCAAGACGTTTTCTGAATATTCTGCAGTAGCTGAGTCATTCGCCTGGTCTGTACCTGGTTTCTATGCATATGAGTCACCAATGGGGTAAATTAAGGTCAGGAGACCTGCACAAAAACTCAAGTCGGCTGCAAAGCAGGTGTCAGGTAATCCCAAACTTTTAGGGATTCATTGTGAGGACAAAGTTTGGGGAAAGTGTAAAATATTTCTGTTCTTTTGTTGTCTGTATTCAGTAATCTGATATTTAAGTAGAGAAATGCTGAAGGTCAGTGAAAACTGTATTTTTACCCAGTTTCAGAGTAACTCAACTTCCATTTCTCATAGCCTAAAAAGTTACCACAGTGGAAAGTGAACATTTTCTGAGGCAAAAACTTTTTCTTTAGAAACTTTCATTATAAGAATATTGTACCTTAAAATTAACCCCAAAACATTTACAAAAAAATAAAAATAAAAATCTGGTGATGTTCAAAATCTGATCAGTTGTGCTTTTCTCTTGTGTTTACATGTTTCTACTTCCAAAATAACCCAATTTTTTATGTATATTTAATTTTAGATAAATATTTTTCCATGAATTATGGAGATAAATAGCAGAAAGAGATAAAATTTTAAACTTAATTGAGATAGACATAATGTTTTATCAAGATTTTGAACTGCAGCCTATTTCCATGTGTGTTTAATAATCTGAGTATTGTTGATGGAAGTATGATTACTTCCATCATACATACGAGCCTTTGTGGCTTGTATGTAGCATCATTCACCTTATGATCAAAGGTGAATGAAAAGGGTTTGTTTTTGTAATGCTGCCTTCTGCCACAAGAGGCGCTAACGTCAACTTTCAGACTTTGAGCTGATTCAGACAAAACTGATTTATGTTGTGAATAAAAACCCGGGCCTTCTTTCTGAAAGAAAGCCAAAAAGTCAAACACTTGAATACAAAAGAGAAGTCTTTTGTCCCCATCCTGTCTGTTGATAAGTTTTAATAGTATGAGATATTTAAAAATGTTTTATTTTGTAACTACCATCTTTAAAGTTTGACTTTTTCATGATCTATTTTTACATAGATAGCCGAATATCTGTTGAATTCTAATTAGTTGTATTATTTTTTTTATCATTGTCAAAGTTTTTCTTACGTTTCACAGTTCAATTTAATTTTGTTCAGCCTTAATAAGCAAATGAGAGGGATTTTTTTTCCTAATACTTTGTATTTGTAGAAGGCCTTTGTGGCTCGTATGTAGCTTTAACTGACTGCTGGCGTACCAAAAAAAACATCTGCAGAAAGCTGAGTTTAGTAACAACTGCATCATGTTCTAAATTCATTTTCTGAAAAATTGTTTCTCCCTCACTTTCAGAGCTGAACTGATTTTTTTTTCTACTTATTTCTTCTAAAAACAAAAATAATAATTAGGAGATCCTTAAAGAAGGATATAAAAAAATGTCTGAAGGTTATTTTTATGGTAATGAGAAAAATAAACTTTTGCGCTGACTCGGAGAAAGAATCCTAAGAAGAAACAAAATTGTTAAACTGACTATTAGGGGCTCTGTGTTTAAGTTTTTGCCCATAAAAGTTAGAATCAATCTACTGTAGTGAGGCTTTCTTATGTAAACTTATGAATTTAAACCAAAAACCTTCACTGTTCAAAAATCTCCAGGCTTACTTCTAGATACAGACTGCATAGCAAATCAGTATCAATATTTTATTAGATAATTCACACGGTTCTCACACAGATGCCACATTAAAGCTAATCCAAAAGCTGATCATGTGATCGATACTTCTACAGAGCAAGGAGCACGTTGCAGCATCCTTGATTTTTTTTTTTTTTTTTTTTTCCAGCTGCTATCCTCTTATTGCCACATTTTACTCTATAATAACTAACCAACCACATAATGCAAGAGTCATCCTGGTGTGACAGGTTCAACTCACAACCCGACTCTGGTTTGTATTACATTTTCCTTGAACAAACTTGAGTGTTTTGTGTCACTTTTTATGTTATTTTTTATTTTTTTATCTTTCTTGTCGAGCAAAAGACAAGCATGAAGATTAGCGAGTTGTGGCATTTCACCACACAAGCAGTAAATAACACATTCTCCCGACAAGACCGGGGAAACCTGTCAGTGGTCTGATAGTAACTCGCCTCTCCGGGCTGCGCGGGCCTGCGAGACAGCTGTCCGAATCCCGAGCAGAGGGTCGGACGGAGGGATGATGCTGATGAATCCCAGACAGATGAATTATAGATGGGCCTGTTGATTAAAGTAAGCCCGGCTCTGATGACTCACCGAAGGAATCCAACGACAGATTTCCGTCCTCGGCAAATCGTGCGTTTGTCGATGCGACGCAGTCTTGTGGACTGCGCTTTGTGTTATAGGAGCTGCATGAATTGTGTTCGGAGGTTAGCAATCCAAAAAAAAAAAAACAACAACAAAAAAACCAGCGAAGGCTAAAAAAAAAATTCAATTACCGAGTTGCAGAGTGGTGTTTTCACAACTGTCACACTTTCTTTCCTCCTCTCTTTTGTTTCCCCACCTGCCTTCCCGCGTCCCTTCATCGTCCCCACAGCTGCTAAAGGACTTTCCGGATGAGCTGCGATCTGACATCACCATGCATCTCAACAAGGAGATCCTGGAGCTGTCGTTGTTTGCCTCGGCCAGCCGCGGCTGCCTGCGCTCGCTGTCGCTGCACATTAAGACCTCCTTTTGCACCCCGGGGGAGTACCTCCTCCGACAGGGCGACGCTCTGCAGGCCGTCTTCTTCGTCTGCTCGGGGTCCATGGAAGTGCTGAAAGACGGAATGGTGTTAGCCATCCTAGGTAGGTTAAAGTGGAACTGCTAGCGGGAAGAAAAAGGAGAAAAACCTCTTGGTGTAATTGAAGAAGATCATAGCACTTGAGTTTATAAAATCCTGTAGTTAAGCTCAGTGTTTAGACACAACATTCAACTAAGTGAATGGAGGTCAATATGCAAGTTCTGATGTCTACCATAGGAAAAAACACATCAACTCTATATTGTTGTTTTTAATGAATATTTTCTGCAGAAGGTGCTCAAAGGACTTTTACGCAAAGCAACATAAAAATGCAGACAAGGTCTCAAGAAGGCCTGCAAATATCCAGTCGAGCAATCTGGTCATAAAATGAATGATGTTTTAATTTTAGACGTTCTATACGAAACCTTGTTAAAATTTTTATCAAGAAATCCCAAACTGGGGAAAAATACAGAGAAAAAGTTAACTTTTCAAATAAAACATACAGCCTTTTAGTTATCGTCTCCATAACTCCAGCAGCTTCACTGGGGAACCAAATTAAATTAGTTCAGTTTCTCATTAATAAAAGTTAATGTCACCTGAAGCACTAACTCAGAAGAAGAAGAAAAAAACAAAGTTGTTTGTTTTTTTTTTGTTTGTTTTTTTGCAGAAAAGTTAAAATAGAAAAAAAAAATCTAACAGTCTGTTATAGATTATAGGGAGAAAATCACATCTACTACTAACCAGTCACTCTTTATGATCAATGAAAGAATAAGAAAGGAAAATTTTATTAATTTCGTTTCTTTTTCAACATGATAAAAAAGTAATTTTAAACTACACACTAGAGTGAAGCTGCACTAAAACCCTGGAACTTAAGTTTCTGTTTAGTTATCGTGTGTGAAGAGAAAAACTGTTTTGTTTTGCTTTTTTCTTTTCATTCAGATCTATTTAGGAGTTACGAGATCTGGCGGTAATTTAAAGAGCAGGGAAGGAGTATGGCAGAGGGAGTGAAAATCCAGTGTTTTTAAAAACCACTGTGATATCCAGAAGACCAGAGAATGCCGCGCCTTTGTTGGACTGCAGGGAGCGATTATATTTCTTTTGGCTAAATAGAAACACAAAAACACAAAAAAAAGAGCCCGGAACAGTGGAGCAGTTGCTCCACTGTTCAGGTCTCTTTTTTTGTGTGCATGATAAATCTGTTAAAAAAAAAAAAAAAGAAGAACAGAAGACCCTCTGCTGAACGACTATCATCTGCTGTCGCACCACCTCTCGTCCTGAGTGACATCTTTCCTCCTGTGACCTTTTGAATAGAGCTACACAGCAATATGGGAACAGTGTGATGCGAATACCATCTAAATGTGAAGCTCCCTCCATCACTGTCTATGTTTACTTGTTGATTCTTGTATTTGTCACATGACTCTCTGTGTGTGTCTGACAGTAGCTGCATGTTGGTACACCTTCAGGAAGAAACTGTGCTTTTGTTAGGATGTTTGCTGGCCCTCAAACTGCCTCATGGTAGTGTCTCTGTGTGTGTGTGTGTGTGTGTGTGTGTGTGGGGGTGTGTGTGTGTGTGTGTGTGTGTGTGTGTGTGTGGGTGTGGGGGGGGTGTGTGTGTGTGTGTGTGTGTGTGTGGGGGGGGTGTGTGTGTGTGTGTGTGTGT